GAGAGAGAGAGAGAGAGAGAGAGAGAGAGAGAGAGAGAGAGAGAGAGAGAGAGAGAGAGAGAGAGAGAGAGAGAGAGAGAGTGTTCCTACTGCCACAGTAAGATACAGGCCACATATTCCCAGGATGCTTCCACAGCTAAGTTCCTGGGGGCTTAGCTGCTGCTGCTGCTGCTGTGGCTCCAGCAATATGCCTGATTGATGAAGTAACAGACCGGTGCTAGAGGCACCCGTGCTGTTGTGGAGATGGCGAGTGAGTCCCCACACAGTTCTTAGCAGCTATCGTTGATGATCTCTCATGAAAGATCAACCGTTTGAAGATCAGGCATCCATCTGCAAAACCCTTCGAGCGGCCGGCGTAACGTAACTCATCCATCGTCATCATCATCATCATTCGACATAAGCTCTTCCCAGAAGTTGCATGGCAGTGTTCCTGTGCATCACAGTAAGATTCCTAACCAACAAAGGTCCAAAGGAAATACTGAGTAGTCATATGCTGCCATAGTACTACTCCAAGTTATATCTGTACAAGACTTTCCATTCTTGTAGCGGTGCAAGTTATCAGCGGCAAAACACATCCACCATAAACCAGGTTTCTAACCCTGTATGGCCACACTTAACTCAGCAGTACAGGACAAAGAAGTAAGACAGCAATGAAGTCAAATGAAATAGGGTGCAAAGATGTATTACGCCATCTGAGTGATGGACGGAGGACGCATAGCTGGTATAGCTTCTTCCTGTGCAATACCGATATGGCAAGAGGGCATATGACACCTTTTTCATTTTTTTTCTTCATTCAGATACATGGGTTTATGGCATTTTGACCCCGCACAGAGGGAGTACGTACTTTTCCCCCTCTCATCCACCACCATTCCCTCCTCGTAGGAAGATCGTTCGTGGTCCTACACCAGCGCAGCAGACGTGAAACAAAGCAGTACGACAAGGCCACTACCGCGCGTGTACACGAACAGAGAAATGTGAGCTTCTCATCCAGAAGATCGTATTGATTGCCTCTTCTTCCTCCATGATCGACCCATGCGCCGACGAGCGGACAATGATACACCTGTGCTATTCCCTCTCCCTCACCCCCCCCCCCTCCCTCTCCTCTCTAGAAGATTGTAGTCCTCTCTGTCATGACCATTTTTTCTCAATGGAAGTAGTCCAACACGATGTCCAACAGTCGAAAGTTTTCGAAACAGAAAAGTCAAAAGACACCCAGAAGAGATGCAATCTTCATCCTGTCAAGTGCTCTGAGAATCGAACCCGCACCCTTCCAAACTGTAGCAATCCAGTGGATGAGTTTGAAGAAGATAAAAGTATAACCACCACCGTCCTGTCCATCAAATGGAGCAATCACAACACACTGACAGGCTTTCTGACAAGAGCGCTTACCTACCCCTACCATTAACAAACAATAATAATAACCTCATGAACAGTGCACCTTCCAAACTGAAGCAATCCAGTGGAAGAAGCCGAAAAATAATGATGTGCGGATAAAGACGCGACCCCCATATCCTCCAGCAAATGCAGCAATCACGCCGACTGGCTTCCCGGCAAGAGAGCTTATAATCAACAAATAACCTCAGGGACACTGCAGCATGCAGCTAAAGCTACGGAAAACACATCTCTAGCATTCCTACGAATGCATTCACGTGAGACGATTTTGATAGGGACCCCTATCCGTCTGACAACTGTCCTCATTCCACACAACACGCTCAGCTGGTTGCTGCTCACCGCCGCTTCTCATTGACCAGCCTTATGAAAGCCATGCTGCGCGCATGCTCTTCCACTGCCACCATCGCAAGGGGTGAAGCAAACCAGTTCCAGTGGACAGCAGATATGATGCTGCGCAGAATGCTGTACGTAATCCACCTGGCAGTCAACAGCTGGGAGATTGGTCGGAGCTAGCAATGGCTGGTAATTTAAGGCAGCCATAAACAAAAGTCAAGAACGGCTAGTAAAAAATGCACGAGACGGTGGTGCTCAGTTTCTTGGCGACGTGATGGGTGCACTGCTAATTGACAAAGACAGGCAGGTGATCAATCAATACAACACGTCAACTCAAGTGCTCCATAAGTGCACAAAGTAAGAACAAAGCTTTTCTACCGGACTCACAACATTGATGAACAAGCTCAAGCTTCAAACCTCGAACAAAGTTCAGTTCCTGAAGAACTTGGAAAGCGTAAAGAAGGACCACAAACCTCAAACCAAGAAGTCGTTGCACCCCTGCTCTTCACAAGGGAAACCCCCTTCCACACTGAATCCCAACCACATGGCGGCCTGCCTGACAGCTGCTTGTGGATGGATGGATGGATGGACGCACCTTCTGCCACCTCCTGCCGGAGCTGATACCAGGACGAGAACCAAACACTTGTGCACACATAGGTCGTCGAATTGAAGCGAAGTATTCTTCTCGACGGAGATGTCGCAAACCTGGGACGGACTCTCCACACAAAAAAGATAACAACCAGGCATCATCCAGATTTGCAAAGCCCACAAGTTGTCTCCATCTCCCCCTCCTTCTCAACAGCTGCTGCTCCTGGCTCATCGTTCTCAGGTTCCTCCTTCAGGACCACATTCATTTCTTTCCGCTTCACGTACCTGGCCTGCTCTCTGGCCTTACGCTGCTCCTCACTCTAGTCCTCCATGTGGTGGGAGCTGACTGTACCCTCCAAAAAACAAGAAAATGGCCCCCACCTAAACCTTGCAATGGGACGAGACTGCAGCTTCCACAAGCAAGGAACCAAGGCCCTCCCCAACCCAGCCGTCGCAACGCTGGCCAGGGTGGGGGAGCCTGGACCAGACCAGAGGCCTACGAACAAGGGCGATGCTCTGTCCAGCAGTTGCAATGGTATCCATTGTATCCAACAACTTCTGTGCCTTGCGTACCGCTGCGCTGGCTGCCGTCTCAATTTCCGTCTCCGGCCTGAACCAACACAAAGTGGTACGCCCTGACAGGCTTCCTGCCCTTTAGAGCATGGATAAACGGTTAGCAAGAGCGTGCAAAAAACTTCACACTAAGGTCTATGAACAGTGTCAATGCCACTACCGCATTGGAAAAGTGCATGTGTTGCCAGCACGTCAAGAAAGAAGGCAATGAAAACTACTTTTTTTTTCTTTCGTTCCCCAACACTGGCGGACAGGAGAACCTGCATCGCTGACTTACCCAATAGGCAAAATCATCATCAAATGGGAAGTACATATAGGCAAGAAAACACTCCCACGACTTCCTAAGACATATATACCCCTCAAAGTTTGCTGAGAGGGGGAGACAATCCTTCAATGCTGCGGGTGAGCTTGTTGTGGTCATGAACAGCAGTGAAAGTGAACGTCGTACACCAACGATGGTATGCTATACACTACCAATACCAATGGCGTAAAGCCGTGATTGTAACAAGCTACTATCTTAGCAGCCGCCGCTCTTTGTTCTTTCTACGTTATTTGACACTACTGGGTGCTGGGAGGTGCAATCTGCAACGATTGCACAAGCAATGATACTCCTCGGTCTCCTCATAGAATCAGGTTACAAGACAATTGACGCTTGCACCCATGCACCTACAGGCGAAATCACATAACATAGTCCTTTACATTCCTTTCATGTTCCTTTCATGTGCTGCATTTTGCAGGAGCATGGAAGGAGTGGGTGTGGAGGCATGCCACCACTGATGGAATGTTGCCCAGCTGTTGCCTCACAGGCTATGTCGATGCAGAGACAGCTGGAATGAGGCCTGTTAACCTGATGTGCTCCAGGGTTCTTTGAAGACCAAATTCGGCGACTGCAGCATTTGCAGCACGAAATCCTCCACCGTAGACTGGTGACGAATCCTTGCGTATCTGGTGAAGGAAAAACTCAACAAGCCGCCCCTTCTGCCCACCTCCGTTAGAGCTCGATGCTCCCCTGTCATGACCCTCAGCAGCCCTTGCTTCACTCCTGCCGGTGGTGGCCACACCTTCCTTCGCAGCCTGCTTCTCCAGCCAAAGATGCGCCATCACCTGGCAAATCCCCTCCTCCACTTCTGGCGCAAGCCTCGGAAAGGAGCCTGGAGAACGGGCCACGACAAAAACAGTTAGAACAGTATCCGTGATAACAACGGCCAGCAACATAGAAGAGATGGGAAGAGGAAAAGTTCACTTGATAAGCACAAGTAGGTGGTTCTGAAAGGAGATTCAAAACAGCAGAGGCATGGAAGGGCATGCTGAAGTTGAAGGATGAAGGGGAAGATGAAGAGAATCCAGTCCAATTCTGAAAAAAACAAAGAACTTAGCGGATGAGAGGGGCCAGAATGTAGTGCACGAGGAATGTGTTCATGTTCTCAAAGGGAAAGGACGACGATCAACAGCTGGCATGCATGCAGATCCTTGATTGGTGAAAGCAAAATCCAGGAAAACAGAAATGGCTGCAAAGTTCAAACATGTAAGGCTGAAGGATCGAGTGCGAGATGAGCAGAACTGAGTCAAATTCTGCAAAACAAAGCAAGTGGGAGCATCATGAACTGGACAAGGAATGTGTCCATGTCCTCAAAGGGAAAGGATGATCAACAGCTGCCAGGCACGCAGCCCCAGGATGGATTAAAGCAAAATCCAGGAGAACAGAAAAGACTCGAAAGTTCTAACAAGTAAGGATGAAGGTACAAACCTGCAACAGAAGAGAGGTTGTGGGTATTCTGGCAAGAAGCACCTGCACTATACGCCCCCTCAACCAAAATAAGCAACAGACGCGAACCAACTAAGAGGAAGCTCTGAGCGGAAGCGGGACATAAGAAAAGGTTCAATGCATTCCCCACTAACCTGCTGAGGCTGCTGTGATACAATCTTTGCTTGACAGTTGTAATAAACAGGAACCTCTCACTAAACGTCAGAAGTACTAGCATGCGCTTTGATTGAAATGCAATGCTGCTTTTGTCTACTCACATCTACTCACACATGTCAGTACACTCATGCACACTGGCAAGGAAACCAAATGGATGCAGCAGAACTATCATCATCCGTATCATTGCCATGCGGATCCTCATCCTCACGGTCCGGTCCAATCAATCGAGTATTAGATTGGAATCCAGATCGTGTTGATTGTTCGAGACCTCACTCAGTGTCAGAACAGAACAGTTTTAGGCCGATCCCCTTAAGGGTCCGCACAGGACAATACTGATCCTCGTCCTCAACCTCATCATCCGCAGTTGAAGGGGGTATGTGCATTTCATCGTATCAAGTACTGGAAAATGCCACAAGCCAGGAACACTTTGAGATGGATTCCTGACCTGATGGTTGATGTCGCGGAGGAGTCTCGGAGGACTCGGCATCCGAGCCATATGAAGAACAGAGCGATGAGGAAGGAGGAAGCCAGTCTTCATTTCAAGAGGAAACGGAGGCCCGAGGCCTTCCTCCTTCGTGTCGCCACGAAGTTCAGAGTATATCATCATCCCAAGCAGGGGTGTCTCGCGTGTAGTCCCTGAGCGGTGCAGCGCATGTGTGTACAGCGGAACCTTTGTGAGATTGTATTACCAAACGAGCTTGCGAAATAAGTGTTTCCTTCCTGTGATTTCTTGGACGGAGAAACTCTGTTGACGAGCCCGCGGGATTCAGATGCGAGAGGGGAATGCATATCCAACTAGACACTAGTGTGGTCTGGGAACTGTCACTTACGTGTGCCACTCTACTGCAACTGTATCTGAATGAACATAGTCGGAAAATGTGCAATGCACTAAAACCTGCCTATAGATGGGAAGTTAGAAAACTGATCGATGCAAGACAGATTAGCTGGGCTGGTCTACTTCCAAACTACAGACTTGAACAGAGTGGGCAAAAACTGGATCATAGATGGGAGGAAGAGAGGACAGGCACGTGTGAGGATTGAGCCCTCAAGAAGGGGCCTTGCCATGATGTACATGTTCTGGGCTAAGGCCCCAGCAAGCCTAGTGCCCGCCCTAAGTGACGGCGGGCCAGCAAATCAACAAGAGCCCTCTGTGCCAGCATTTCACGAAGTGGGGTCCATACAGTTGCAGCATGCCAGTTGGTTGGAGTGCACCGAGTCTCGGATTTCAGCAAATGCTGAAAGCCCAGGGCCTCTGAGTTAGTTAGGCCCTGGGCACTCGAACGTGAGGCCGACAATGCATGCTGGGTAGAGAGGCCGAAAATGCCAAAGGGAAATCGGCCCACTATCTGAATCTGGCCGCAGGCCTTGATGAAAGAGGCGCAACTGCATTGCCCCGGGGCCCAACTGTATCGGGTTGGCTTCAGCCTCTGGGTCCCGGTCACAGGCTGAAGGAAGGCCGCCCACACGCTGCACTGGCATATAGGCAAGCAGGGCGAGTGGGCAGGGATCTTGGCCAATGCTGGCATTGCGGGCACGCTGCGCTGATGCATGTGTGCTGCACTATGCATGAGCAGCGCTGTGCTGAGGTGAAGCAGGCAAGCGCTAGGCGGTAGGGCGCTGCCTGCATGCAAGGCACTGGCGGCCATAGCCGGGCCGCATGAGGGTGCAGTGAGGGTGAAGGGCGAAGGTGGTCTTTGGAGGTGAACAGCGCTGTGTGGGTAACAAGGGAGAGTGTGGGGAAGAGGACACGTACCTGGTTGAGGTGGAGGTCGGCATTGGTGTTGACATCATCACYCGCTGGTAGTCAAGTTGTCTGGTTGCTTTCATAGCTGTAGTTGTAKGCTTAGTCTGTAGAGYAGATAGGGCKYCTGGCGCCATTCATAAGAGAGAGCTACATTGGGTWATGCTGTTGGTGTTGCCCTGTTGGGCWTGGACATTGACTCACGATTCTTCTGTATCATTCTCAATTGGATGGTTACTCGGTTCCATTGTACTATCTGCTTTGGCTTGGACTACTTGGACTTCAGTGTGATTTTGCATTCTGGATTTCTGTGCTCCGTCCATATTCATGTTCCTTGCAATTTGGTATCGGAGCTGTTTGATCGCCACTAACCTTTGGCACGCTGGCGTTATACAGACTTGGTGCGTTGACGATGCTTCTTCGCAGTGGGTACTTGTGACGTCAGGCCACTATAGGTGCACGCCCTGGGTAGAGAGGGGTGCACCGGAAGGCTAATACGGCAGTGTATGCCGTGGGTTACATTGGTGATGAGAGCATGCTGATGTGGCATTGGACTAAGGTGGCACTGCATTGCGTTGTGGGTGGTACCGAGGTCATGACCGGTCATCAAATGCAACATCAGCTCAATTGGTGAGAAAATCTGTGGTTGGGCGCAGCTATCTCCAGGTATGTTGATCCCTTACCTTATCTACCTTCTCAATCTCTTCTTACCGTGAGGAAGTGAGTCCAACTTGAGAGTCCTCTCCTTGGTGAGGTGTCGTGAGCGCGCTACCTTGAGAGACGACAATCTTCCCGGAAGCATCTGGAAGGAGAAAGGGCGGTGCCTCTGAAGGGCCCTGGTCGAAGCACTGGGTCACGGTCACCATGCCAACCCAATGGGAGTAGGTCACGCATGTGATGGCTGCTGTCCATTAAGGCACTTTGCTGCGCCAAATAGAAGTCTTGCCAAGTGTGCCAGCCTTGTATGAGACGCTTACCAGACCGTCTATAAACATTTCTGGTTGGGTACTCGGAATGATTCTRGCTGTGATCGTCGTCCTGACTGCGACGTTAAATAATTCCTGCAGAGATGGGGGCGCTCTTAATAATCCTCCTGATCAGCCAGATCATCCGGGTGTAAGGCTCGTTTCCGTACGAGGGTAAATAAGAGTGGGCTGGCTGGCTTACTTGGCTCTGACTTGGGCACAGGGGTGGGCCGATACACACACGAAGACACTGCTCGCTCAAAGATGCTGTTCGGTATGTTGGATTGAGGGGAAGGGTAGGTTCCAACTGGTGCTCAACTGTATACACAACAATACCCATCAATCATACATCTGCTACATTGTCTTTTTGTACCTTTAATTAGTTGGTTGACGGAGTGCTAAGCTCACAGACAGATTAGTGTAGGACTGTAGTATGCTACCATATCCAGTTCTAACTAATGCTGCTGTAAGTGAACCAATCAGGGAACATCTAGACTATGTAGACAATCTGTGTGAATGTTGTAGACATGCCACTTGATTCGGTATAGTAGGGAACTCACCGGACACAAGTATTTATAGAAAATTACGTGCCGGTCAGATACATGCTGTGGTAGGATTCCAGTAGGGGATTCTAGTGCAGATACTATCTACCTAACTAATGAGTGGGTCAGACCCTGTTGATGATAGAGCTGACAGTAGGAGACTAACACGTGCACAGGCACTAAGGGTACTGCACGTGTTCCAGGCCTTGGAGCTGGGAGAAGAAAGACGGCTACGTAGAGCCCGTGCTCTAGCAGCGGGGATAGCAGCAGCAAACGCAGCAGCTAGAGAGCAGGCAACAACAGCCAGAGCAGCAGCGATGGCTAATGGTGCAAGCTCTGCTGCATCATCATCTGCGTCCTCGTCAGGGACTAATGGGGGCCAGTTGGGAATGCCAACGAGTTCCACAAGTTCCTCGGGCACTTCCGGTTCCACACGATCTAGACAGTCTTCTAGTCAAATGGCAGGCGCGCAGTTCAGCCCGTTGACCCCGCGTGAGAGGGAGCTCAGAGAGATCCAGCAGGTCGAGAGGCTCCGCCGTAAGTTAGAGCAGGACCTGAAAGATGCTACCGATAGAGAAAATGCGATGAAAACTAGAGCCAGGCTTGAAACTTTAGAGGCTGACAAGGCTGAATTAGAGGGCTTGGATGAGTCAGCATTGACTGACCCACTGAAAGTATTGAAGAAGAATCTGCTGTCATTGCACGCACACGTGGACAACAAATTAGACTTCATGCAGAGCACTCTAGACCAGATCCTGGATGCGTTGACAAGGCCAGGATTCCGGCCACCAGCACAATCGCCGTAGCCGTTATCGGCGATGTCAGGCCCCTTTCCAGTTCAAGCTGGTACACAGCCAAGTGGTACGTCTGCAGCAGTCTCACAGACTGTTGCGTCTTCTTCTTCGGGTCCAGCGGTGATTGCTACATCACCACAACAACCTGTTCCCCCACAAGGACAACAACAAGGTCAATGGTATCCTAAGACCC